CCTTAACGTACAGGTAATAATAATTAATAATAATAATAATAATAATAATAATAATAATAATAATAATAATAATCATTTCGGCATTACATTAACTTGGTCTAGCCTTGTAATCAAGAACCTGCCGGTTACTATGCCTAGTATTAATAACTAGCTCATTTTCACATTCATTTGGTGCTCTGCCATATTTGGCAGGTCTTATGGCATCCAGTATTTTAGAGCTGCCTATTCTCAGCTCTTCTCTTAATTTGAAAATAACTATCACCCTGTTTCATTTGATGAAGAAAAGATTTTCCTTACTCTTTGTGCTTTTCCTAATAAGCGTCTTAGTAGGCCTAGGTAATTAATTATGCAAAACCAAGGCCTAACTAAAAAATTAAAATTGTCATAGTATGTAACTCAAGTTAAAATAACACTTTTTCATTACTCGTGCAGCTTAATCAAATATTATATGTCATTTTAAACGACCCATTGGTATTAACATATTAACATCAATGTATTTGTAAAAATTAGACAGCGACGTTCTCTCAGAAGTTGTTTTGTATACGTTTATCTGTTGATGACCTTTTGACCTCCTGAATTCTGCAATGAGATTTTCGGGTCGATTCAGCCGAGACGGCCCGAGTGGAGTTTCATGTAAATGTTTCGTACGGAAAAAAAAATCGCATACAGTACATGACGGTTTACCATACAAGCCACGCCCCCTCGGCTGAACCCGTTGTATTTAGCAACTACCACTACCAAGGGCAACGGTTTAAACGTCTCTTCCGAAAGAGGGCGCGCTATCATAACTGACTTATATTAGAGCTTTGTATTTAATCTATCCTGCAGCTTCAGGGATCGCAGTTGAACCCAGAAGCGCGAAGATCTCCACAGTTTAGCGCACTCAAAGTGGCTACCACAAGTTTAGTCGACTTAGCTAAGCTGCTCACATTGATGTTTAGTATTCAAAAATATACACATAACGATAATTATAACACAATAGGCCTACACAAAATATATACAAGTCTGCCAAATATAAAATAATTTTTTTCAACTTACGTCAGACAATTCTCCCATATTTCGTATGACCTTATTCCATATACTCTCTTCTCCTCTTAGTGATCCCAAGAAGAAGGCCCTCAATAACGGATTTTGCACTAATTCGACCCACTGGCTTGCAGTATACTTAGGCTCTTCCATTCGAGCCACTCTGTGAAATAACTCCTTAGGCAGACCAAAGTGGATGTCAATACCTGCCGACAAAATAAAAGACGTTGACAATGAATTTAATTACAGGTCTCCCTCTAATTAAAGACCACCTCCAAATAAAGACCACTTTTTTGTAGCCCAGACTAACAAATTGTTTTTATCTTTACTATTCTAATTAAGAGACTAAAGCTGCTAAAGACAATGTGAACCCCAGTCCCCACCCAAATGGTCTTTAATTGGAAAGGGGGGGGGGGGTTTGAAGACCTGTAATTACTATGTTTATTAATACTATTAATGTTTATATATATATTTTTTAAACAAAAGATACATTAACAAATAAAGAAGATATTGTTATTGAATGTATTTCAGAAATACCGGGATGGTGTTTGGCAGGGGATAGTTTCTACCATTTTTATCTATTTAAGTAATTGTACAGTATTTGTGCTACCTTGTAATCCTGGCCCCGAAGACTTGACTTAGAAATACCCGGTTGGTGTCCGGCGGGGGATGGTTTTTACCATATTGTAGTTAAGTTATGTAGTTAAGCTTAACATTGAGCGGTAATTCCTGGCCCCGAAACCTAAACTCTGAAGTACCGGGTTGGTGTCGGGCGGGAATAGTTTTCCACCAAAATTGTTACTATTGTTTATTTTATTGTACTGTGCTGGTTACTTTTTGTTGTTGTTATTGTACTGTGTTTTTGCAGGACCATATTGCAAATTACAGCGGTAAGATAATAATAATAATAATAATAAAAAAAATAATAATAATAATAATAATAATGATGATGATGATGATGATGATGATGATGATAAAGATGACAATAACGACAATGGTGATAGTAATAATAATGATGATAATAATGATAATGATAACGATGACTACCGTTTTTTTAGACCGTGCTTTGATGATGGTAAAAAAAACCCAAAACAATAAACACCAAGCTAGCACCCAAACCGAAGTATGGGGTTACACCATCACCGCCAACCGGAGATCTGTGTTTATGTACTCCGGTTAGCATTGGTTAAGTCTTGATCTTTTCTGGGATCAGGTGCCTCCTAACCTGGAACAAACAACACTAGCTATCGAGGTGAAACAGAGAAATTGAAAAAAAAAGAAGAAAAAAAAAAGTAGCTATAAAGAGACAAATAAAAAAGTTTTGAGTCGCTTCTTAAAGATGTCGATTGACGCTGATTCACGGACTTCAACGGGTAGTGCATTCCACATTTTTGGAGCCGCAACACGAAATGATCTGTCACCATATGTTTTCGAACGGCACCCAGGAACAAAGAAAGTTGATGAACTTGTAGTTGATCTGAGTGCTCGGGAACAAGTGGATGAGCGTAGTCTGAGAAGATCTTGCATGTACGTGGGTGATAGGTTATGGAGCGATTTGTGCACAAGAAGAATTTTGAAGTTGATACGCTGTCGAACTGGAAGCCAATTGGTCTTTGAGTATTGGCGTGATGTTCTGTGACTTTGGGGTGAGCTTAATTAGACGTGCGGTCGAGTTAAGTTGTAGTTGTAATTAGTTGTAAGAGTATCTGGAAGCCCAAATAGGATACCATTGCAATAGTCAAGTCTTGAAGTTATAAGAGCATGAACAAGTTTTTTAGTTGCGTCTTCGTTCAGGAAGCGTCTGATTTGCCTAATATTACGGATGTGATAATTGACAGATTTACAAACGTTGGTAACATATGATATATATAAGATATATGATATGATACTGTATAATATGATGTGATATGTTATCATGTGATATGATATATGATATGATATGATATGATATGATATGATGGTGTGATATGATATGATGAGGTATGATACGTTATATGATATGATATTCCGATTTAGTCCCTGAGTGAAGAGGTTTATTATGGATAAATTGTTAATCTGTTGGTTTCGTATAAAAAAATGACTTGGTGTAATATCAGGGGCGGATCCAGAGAATAATCTGGGTAGGGGCCCAAGTGACGCGCGAAGCAGTGAACGGCAGGTGTGTGTGTGTGTGCGGGATGGGGGAGGGGGAAGTGTTTTGAGATTTTTGTTTATAAATGCTTTACACAGACACTGGTACATGGAATTTAAATCGAAAATTAGCTTGTTTTGGAGTACCATGCTCTCTTCTTCCTCCTCTCTTGTCTATGCCAACCCTACCCCTGGATTCGCGCCAACCCTACCCCTGGATTCGCGCCAACCCTACCCCTGGATTCGCGCCAACCCTACCCCTGGATTCGCGCCAACCCTACCCCTGGATTCGCGCCAACCCTACCCCTGGATTCGCGCCAACCCTACCCCTGGATTCGCCCCTGCTATATTCAGGAAAATCCTGGTTTAGGCGATCAACTCTCCTTGTCATGTTCGTGTATAATAGTAAATAACTCTATTAAATTGTTTTCAGGTGGTATGTCACCATGCCTGAGACAAGTGCTTAATATACTGTAAATCACAATAAACTAGAATAATACTAGGATTCGCGCCAACCCTACCCCTGGATTCGCCCCTGCTATATTCAGAAAAATCCTGGTTTAGGCGATCAACTCTCCTTGTCATGTTCGTGTATAATAGTAAATAACTCTATTAAATTGTTTTCAGGTGGTACCGTATGTCACCATGCCTGAGACAAGTGCTTAATATACTGTAAATCACAATAAACTAGAATAATACTAACATTTTCTTTGCACTATTCGCTCTAGCTGATGAGTAATATTATATCAATAAATCATATTACTCCATGCTTACCAAATGGAACGTATAACTCGTCGTGAACGAACTGACCAAGAGTTCTGTGTTTAGGATCAACTTTATACACAAGTACACTGCAGAAAGACGCCATTGTCATTGTATGGTAGCCGTGACCCGTCCCTATCTCCCATTGTGGTACTGAATCTGCTAGTACTCCAGCGAGTTTCTCATGGTCTCGGAAAATGTCCCACGTCAGTGTCTCGTTTGGAAAGGGAATGGCAGCCTAAAAATAATAAAATAAATAAATTTGATCACGCGTAATGCGATATATAGGCCTTGTTTGCATGAAGCTAACATACTGTATCATTATTAAATGATTTTCTATCACTGTATACGCGTCTTATGTTTAGAGATTTATTCAAATATATATTATTATTTTAAAGTTAAATTCATTCTTTTCATTGCACTATCCGGCAGTTATATAGGCTTATCGCGGGCGGGCACACGCCGCGCCCGGACTGATGTCGGCCGGCACGGTCCCATGAATAAAACTTAACATGTAATCAGCATTACAAGCGCTCATGCGGAATCGGCTGACGGTCGCATGGCCATCGTACGACGCAGGGCGGCACTGTGTGCCCGACTTTACTGTACAAGAATACCATGGCAACACATCTGAAGTTCTCGCACTACCTGGTGACTAACAAGCATCTTAACCGTCACATTTTCTTTGCCATGTTTACCGAACTCGGGCCAGTATTTGACGACTTTTTCATCATAGCTTAGGAGGCCTCGGTCCACTAACATTCCAATACAAATGGCTGCGACACCCTTGCCAGTGGAATACACGTTTGCTAATGTATCTTGCTTCCATGGCCGGTGCGACTGCTTGTCTGCGTAGCCTCCCCATATGTCGACAACTTTCTTGCCTTTGTGGTACACTACGAAGGCTGACCCTCCTTGCGACGGCTCGATGCCACTTAAGTAATGCTCCCTGTAATAAACAATATAGGCCTAGATTAATTTGTTGCGGACCATGGGTCCTAGATCGAAAATAGTGGGGAGAGGCAGGACCCCGTTGGAGAGAGCTGCCTCGGAGTCAGGGAGAAAAAAAAAATCGTCGGGGAGAGAAAATGATATATGTATTTTTTCATTGATTGTTAGGCTCTAAAATCGATTAAATAGACCTAAGCCTTTGAAATCCCGCCAATCACGCCAACGTACGCTCTCATCGGTGACATCACCTACCCCACCCCCGTCGAGGACATCCCAATCCGTCCTCAATCATGCTGATCTGGAACTTTTCATTGACGTGTTATGCTTGATACTATTGGAGAATTTTGTTCCTATTATTATAGTAGTTACTGTTTCCAACATTGCCAATTTTGTCTTGCGGTAATGCTCTACGTTTGACATTGCTTTATTATAATAAGCCTCTATATGTACACACACATTA